ATGTAGGGAACAGTTACTACTATAATCAGCAAGTGATAAATGGCTATAAAAACAAGAAGACCAATAAAAAAACCTGGATGATGCAAGTAAATCGAGTATTTGTTTCACTAAATCTTACTACATTTCAGTGAAGACGACAATATTTGTTTTTCTTTTTCCTCCCTTGGGAAAAAAAGAGCCCTTTTGATGAGCTCAAGTGTTGCTTTGCCCATTTCTTTGCCTTTCATGGATGGGACACATGTCCAGGAGCAGACTTTGAATGGTAGTTTAAAATTAATTCTCTCTTTGAAATAAGAGCCAATGACAAATGTCAGACCACTGGTGCATAGAAATAGTGAAAAGCCCTAGTTACTCCAAGAATGTGGCTGACATTGAATACATTATGGTCCAATTATGTTTCTTTTCAAGTACTTTGGATGAAGCAGATGAAAGCGGAGACACCCAGGCCTGTAATTTCTTGCATATTCTCTCTTTGTGTGGCATGGTTCAGAGCAGGGGCTCCTGAAGTGGAAGGCAGGCCAGGGAACATGCGAAATAATACTGGAGTATGAGAAAAAGAATCAGAACTTTTATTACATTTATTACTATCTTTTTTAGTGTGTAGTTTGGAATATGTTTCATAAGCACATATTATTACAGTAATACAGTTGATAATTTATAAATAAATGTACACATGTGCACACATACACATATTTACTTATAAGTGTGTGTGTGCACGTGTGTGTGTGTTGCTCAAACTTGTTTACTGAGGGACCGAGATCAAACAAATTTGGGAACCACTATTGTAGAAGGGTTTTGGAGTTAGATCTGGGTTTAAATTTCCCTGCCACCTCAGTGATCTGTATTTCCCATGACTTACCAGCCTTCAGTTATTCTAGAGGAAAGAAGAGTAGGAAGCAGTAGATTCTAGTCCTGACATTGCCATTGACTCATTGTTGACTCAGCTGTGCAGCCTTGGAGGAGTCACTGAGCTTTCATGAGCTGCATTTACTCCATTCCTCACTCAGACAATAGGTATAATAATACCTTCTTTACAAAGTTATTGAGAGGATTAAATAGAATAATGTTTATTCTGATTTGGGGTATAAAAGTAGTGTTTTAAGGCATGTGTTTAATATTGCCCCCATTGTCCCACCTCACTCTCTTGCCTGGTCTTCTTCATGTCCTATGTTTCACAGTGGCTTACTTATTTATAGTTGTTCTGCGGGAACAATGGGGCAGGAACAGTGGGTTCTAGTCCTAATATTACCATACAGTTACTGTTGAGTTAACATTCAGCTAGTATTGAGTGACTGCCCTGCTATGTGTCCAGCACATGCTTACTATTATCTATTCACACAGAATCCAAAAGAAATGTGCTTCATTTTTCAGATGAAGAAACTCTAGAGCACTGCTATCCAATAGAACTTCTACAGTGATGGAAACATGCTATATCTATGCTGTCAATGTGTAGGCACTAGCCACATATGGGTATTGAGCACTTGGAATATGGATACCGTGACTGAGGAACTCAACTGCTAATTTCATTTTAAATAATTTCAATTTAGGGGCACCTGGATGGCTCAGTCAGTTAAACGTCTGCCTTTGGCTCAGGTCATGATCCCAAGGTCCTGGGATCAAGCCCACATCTGGCTCCTTGCTCAGCAGGAGTCTGCTTCTCCCTCTCACTTTCCCCTTTCCCATCCCCCAACCCACCAACACTCATGCTCTCTCTCTCTCAAATGAATAAATTTTTAAAAATCTTTAAAAAAATAGTTTCAATTTAAACAGCCACATGTGACTATGGGTTACTATATTGTACAGTACAACTCTAGAGATTGCCGAACTAGCATTCAAGCATAAGGTAAAATTAGGACTGTTATGGGACAAATCGTGTCTCCAAATTCCTATGTTGAAGTCCCAACCTCCAGTACCTCAGCATGTGACTATATTCGAAGGTAGAGTTTTTAAACATAAAATGCGATTATATGAGTGAGCCCTAGTTGAATATGATTGGTGTCCTTATAAGAAGAGGAGATTGGGACACAGACACACACATGTGGGGTGACCATGGGTACATCTGGAGAAGATGACCATCTACCACCCAAAGGGAGAGATCTCAGAAGAAAGCAACCCTGCTGACACCTTGATCTTGGACTTCAAGCCTCCAGAACTGTGAAAAAATAAATTTCTGTTGTTTAAGCCACCCAGTGGCTTGTTAAAGCCACCCAGTATTTGTTAAAGCAGTTCTAGCAATCTAATACAAAGGGCTTTTCAATTATGTGATAATTTACTTCATTTACAACAGATATCCTCAAGGAATTCATCAAGAATGCATTCTAGCATACATATAATCACAGAATTAAAAATGGAAGATACAGAAAACATGCAAGAAACAGTAGTTGAATGAAGAAAGCAGTAATATTTATAATTAGGTTTAAACAAGTACTGATGCATAATGAACAAAACTAATTACAACCTGGAAGTAAAATCCCAAATGATTTACACACAGAATGTGGTGGGCAGGTATGTAAGTACAAGGCCAACGTGAAGGGAGAGGGCGAGGTGGTGATAGTAAAGGTGTGCTGAGGTCCTTACAAGTTTCTCATCTCATGGAAAAAAAAGAATAGAGCCAGAAAAGAAGAAACATTATAAAAATAAAACATAAAATGAGGTGAAGTTGGATAAGTCCACATATATCCAAAATCCCAATAAAAGTAAATGGGCTAAAATCTCCTTTTAAAAGATGACTCAAATTAGGTAAAACTAAAAATATTGTCAGTTATTAACTCTGGGAAAAAGAGTAGGCTTGTGGGAGGGCACTTCTACATTTTACCTTAAATACATCCTTCTTGTTTAGTCTTTCACAATAAGCATGCATTCCTATGTTATTTATGTAATTTAAAAATATACATTAGACTCAACCCCAGATTTTCCAGCTCTGGAAATAATTTGACTGTATATATTGCATTTCCCCTTGAACAAGCCAGATCCCTTCTTTGGACCTTAATATCTGTATTTATAAAATGAAAGTGGTGGGCCACACTTGAGACTTTTAAATTTTGCCCAAAGAGGTATTTTATTTGTATTTATTTATTTATTTTAGATTTTATTTTTAAGTAATCTCAACACCCAACATGGGGCTCAATCTCACAACCCCAAGATCAAGAGTCTCCTGCTCTACTCACTAAGCCAACTAGGCATCCCCCAGAAAGTATTTTGTTTTATTTTATTTTATTTATTTTTTAAAGGTTTATTTATTCACTTTAGAGAGAGAAAGAGACAGAGCGAGCAGAGGAAAGGGCAGAGGGAGAGGGAAACAAGCAGACTACCCGCTAAACAGGGAACCCGTCGTGGGGTTCAATCCCAGGACCCTAAGATCATGACCTGAGCCTAAATCAAGAGTCATTTGTCCAACTGACTGAGCCACCCAGGTGCCCCACCAAAGAAGTATTTTAGAAGCTACCTTAGGGGATTCAGGAAAAGGTTATGTGAGTAGGATTCTAAGACCACCTACTTATTTCAAGCAATGAATTTCCTCTTTTATCTGCTTTATATATTGATGTTCCATTTAAGATTATCTATAGAAAAAAGTATTATTATTCTAAAAAAAAAAACAAAACACAAATGTTTGCAAGCTGCTATCTTAGAAGACTTCTAAAGTCCCTTCTAACTTTAACATTCTAGAGTACTTGCCCTTTCCCCATTTCTGTGATGAATACTTTTGCATGTAAATGTAGATCAAGGACATTTCACATGAGGTTGTGCTGTGTCCATATTTATGAAATTACCCCAACCTTCTTTACGGTGAAGTATTCAATCACTCAACCAACTGCTTTGTGGGCATGTAACTGAAGGGCTAATATGGCTGCTCTGAAGGGCTGGATTTCATACACCTCTTAGTTGGGTACTACCTACACCTAACCTCAACATCCAGGTCAATGCTGGTATAAAGTGCCTTTGGCCTGAGAGATGGATGACCTGAATTTCAATCTGGAACCTGCCAATCTGCCTGGAACCTGGCCTGAGCAAGTTAGGTGCCTCAGTTTCCTCAGTGACAACATAAAGAATTAGTCCATTAAATCTGAACTTCTTGTCACCTATCAAATTCTATAATTCATATGTGTCCTTGATGCTTGATCAAAGCCAAAAATATGTACGTATCAGGCAAAGAGAAATTAGGCCTCCAAAGAAAATGTGGTTTCATAGAAGCTTATCAAGATTTGTCATAAATATGACACACTGCCATGTTAAATTCTTAAGTAGAAAAAGATGATGAACATAGCAATTCAAAACTTTTGGTGGGGCGTCTGGGTGGCTCAGTTGGTTAGGCGTCTGCCTTTCGGCTCGGGTCATGATCCCAGAGTCCTGGGATCAAGTCCCGCATCGGGCTCCCTGCTCAGTGGGAGGCCTGCTTCTCCCTCTCCCACTCTCCCTGCTTGTGTTCCCTCTCTCGCTATCTCTCTCTCTGTCAAATAAATAAATAAAATCTTTAAAAAAAAAAAAACTTTTGAGAGAAAACTTCTCTTTGTAGGATAGCGGACCATGGAGTGCCAGGACCCTGATGATTAGCTGACCTTTTTTCCTCCAAGCTTTTTTGAAGAGATTATCTAAGTATCATTTCAGACACCCATCACTCTTATTTTTAGCTCTGAGTTCTCTTCACGAGTGTCGTGACCTGTGTCTCAGAGTTCCAGAGGGCTCCCAGATATGGCTCATGATTCATTTGCAGGTACCTTGCATTGTTTTCCAGGAAGGTCAGGGGAGTAGGAGCCTGGAAAAATGATTTTCGATATAAAATCCTTCTTTGCTGTTCCGACCACTTGATCAGAAATTTACACTCCACAAATTGATCCCTTAGTGCCATAGGCAATTGGCAATTAAAACAGAACCCAAGCAATATTGTTCTCTAAGGGCCTCACAGCTGGCGTGGGGGGAACAAAACTCAGGGCTTTGGTCACAGGCTATTTTCAGCCTCTGATAGCAGTTGTGTTACTCATGTCTCATTCACCCTCTCCCCTCGGCCTCCCTCCCACCCTTCCCTCCACAGGCCAATGCTGGGAACGGCCTCCATGTATTTAAAGAGGACGAGAGCCCCCATAATCAGTTGAGCCGACAGAGACCACACAGGCAGGTATGTGGAGCAAAGCAGACATTTGGGCTGTGGGTGGGCTGGCTTGGTGGCTGGTTGGGACTTGGAAGGGTCCCCTAGAGTAAGGCTGTGTTTCACGTCCCAGGGGCCAGCGTCCAGTCTGGTTCTGTGTGAGGAGGCTCAAGCTGTGCTCAATTCTGGTGTGGACTTAGCAGTTGTTAAAAAAGAAACAAAACAAAACTCCTAAAAGGGGGATTTAGCATTTGGGGGCTCAAGGGAACCTTCCAGAGAAATGAATAAGGGATAATGTTTGGCCTAAGACTATTTCCATGTTGGAATGTTTCCCAGTGTCTTAGTCAAAAGACACGATACCAGTTCTAGAATTATCACATAATGACTGGACGTGGAGCTCAGGAAAACTTGCGGCCCTCAGGTCTGCTCCGTGAGGCTCAGTATGGAAGCAGTGATATTTTTCTAAAGTTACAAAGTGGTTGTTTTAGATACAATACAGCGGAAGCCATCTTTCCAATGCTCAAAATACAAGGCATTGTGCTATTCAGAAGGTGTGGGCGAATAACAGATTTCTATAGTTCACCATACCCTGCCTTGCACATGGGAAATACTCAATGAAATTTGCTGGTTTAAAATAGATTTTATATTTCAAGGATGCTCAGCAACAGGCTTGCTTCTAATAATTTAAAATTAATCAAAACCCATAAAAGGACCCCAAAAAGACACTGCTAGATTGAAAAATCCATTAAAAGGTCTATTTAATCGGAGGAGAATTCCCTGCGGAGGGGGAGGGGTGATTCCCAGTGTTTCCTCCAGGTTTCAGTTAAGCATTTGAATGACAGGCATGAGTGTGACGAAGAATGAGAAGTGGTTTTAAGCAGTGGTCTAAGTGAAGATGCTGCCCAAAGATCAGAGCTGCCACCTCTAATTTCTGTTCCCATCTCTGAGCTGGGCCAGTGACATCCCCAAGGAGGAGGAGTTGGGTGACAGGTCTGAGGAACTTTGCCTCTCTGCAGTACGACTCAGTGCAGTTGAATGAGCTTGTGTTGACCATCTTCTGTGTTGGGGCTGGGCTGGGGTGGGGGGGGCGCGGTGCAGAGAGGCAGCACTAAGGCAGGGAAGGGTGGGGAAACAGGGAGAGCCTGTGTCCTCGGTTTACTTTTGGGACCGAAATCTCAATGCTGGGTACCTCCAACTCATCACAAACTATATAAAACTGCTGTATGACCCAGAAAATGTAAGGGATTCTTCTGACCTGGCTTTGGTTCCATTCTGAACAAGTTGGTCATTAAAATGAGCCCGACTATTGGCAGGGAGGGCAGTTTACCCCCAGGGCCTGGTGCTCCCTCTGGCCAGGCAGATAGGTGCTCGGCAGCCCAGCCACACAGGCCATCCATTAGAGATAGGGGAGGGAGGCCAGGGGGCAGGGGAAGGAGACAGACAGACAGAGATACAGAGACAGAGACAGAAAGAGAAGGAAAGTGTGAGCATGATCACTCAGCAGGCAAATAGCCATAATCCTCCTGAAAGAGGTGGAGACAAAATCTTGGAAGAACACAGACTCAGAAATCCTGGGAATCTGAAGAAGGAAATAGAAGAAAATAGCCTCTGTCTTTGAGATGGTTCAAAACCCAGCTCTGGATATCACTTAACTTCTCTGAGTTTCCATTTTCTGCACAATCAAATTAAACTAAGGCCACCTATCCCAAAGGGATTTGTTAGCATCCGAGGAGATAAAGTATAGGAAGTACTTTGTAAAGCCACAAAGAACCATACAAATAAGTGGGGCCTTTGAGAAAAGGCCCAGGGCCAAGCCCGGTGGGCCACAGGCGGATTTCCTGCTAAGCACAAGTGTAATGAAGAAAGTCCAGAGGTCAGAGTGGATAACAAGGTGCCCAGGAGTTAGAAGGTGGTTAATTTGCTTTACAAGAGGAAGGACACAGACAGGGAATATAACACACAGGAAACACAACTCCCGTGGCCGGCAGACTGCCAGGTATAAGCCCGCTGCTCAGATGTCTGGGCATACGGTAGCCAGGGCTGGGCTTCACGGCCAGAGACAAGTGTGACGGCTTCGAGTGTGAAAAGCTGCAGTTACTCGTCACAGTGAAGAAAAGCAGGAGGGGAGGCAGCGATGGTCATGAGGACCACGGGGCACGGGAGCCTTTTCTGAGCCTCAGTGTGGACCTCATTGTGGGAAAGGATTGAGCACGATTTGTGGGCTGTTTACTGCCCTGTGCAGGCGTGGAACAATATTCGCTTATTTGACTGTCACAGAAAGTCCCGTGAGTGGTCATTCTTCTGAGGAAGAAACGAAAGGAAAGGAAAAGAATTACTCAGGGTCACTTGGCCAGAAAGTGGGAGAGCCAGGATCTAAACCAGGGCGCAACGTGCTCTTTAAAAACACGTGGTAAAAAAAAAAAACGTGGTAAGGGCCAAAATAGAACAGAGTGAGTTTCTGAAAGTAAAATCCGGCCACACATCAGAGATAATTTCAGGAAGGGTGCAATGGAACCCGCGTGTCACAGCTGTGGGTTTGGTGGGCAGGTGTGTCTACCCGGAGTTTTAAGGGGACGAGTGCCAACACTTGGGCTTATTTCTGTGCTGGGAATAAGCAACCTTGGCTTCCCAGGCCTTGCGGAGGGGCCTCTGGATAGGGGACTTCATTCATCTGTTCAGGAACATAGGACGAAGCCACTGACCTTGAGTATCCCACACGGGGAAGCTGAAGGGCATGGTCTCCCCGGGGCCATGAGGACTCTGCTCGGGCTGGCTGCTTCCCTTCCATGTCCCCATCGCCAGCCAGGTCAGCTGGTGTCAGGCACCAGGGCTGCCAAGTGGAGGAAGCAGCTGTCCTGTGGCTCAGGCTTAGGACTTTGCCTGACTTGCCATCTCTGGCTCCAGGCACCCCGATCCCCACCCCCTGAGGGAGCTCTCTCCTTGGCCTGGCTGCATCTGCACCTCGGGGCAGCACGTTCCAAAGGCCAAGAAACAGAGCTGGTTCACAGTCTGAGCCACGAGGGCCACGGAGAAGAGGCCAGGAAAGATGTGCTTGTTTTAAGAAATTGGATTTAAAAGATGACGATAAAATAATCATCATCATCATAATAGTAATAAGGAAAGCAACAAAATTATTAGACACCTGCCATGTATTACACATTTGTATATTTAGTGCCTTAGCTATTATGATGATCTTATCTAACCTGGAAACAACCTTTGATGACAAGCCTTCTCATCTGTCTTTACATGCATGAGGACAAGACACTGGGCTCAGAGATTTTGAGCATTTTGCCCAAGGTCCAGCAGAGAGCATTTTTTTGAGCCCTGGCTTGGTTCTCTCCAAAGCCCGTGATGTTCCACTCTGCTCTATCGTCTCTTCTCCCGGGATGAAGAGAGTAAAGAAGAGACAGTGTTTGAGAGGGGACTGTCACTGGGCAGCAAGGTGAGGCTCTAGTCACTGTTCAGATCCCTACATCTGTCTCAGGGCTTGAAGGATCCTTGAAGGGGCTTCACAACATTGCAGTCACATGGGCAACCATTCCCAGCTGAGCTAAAGTCAAGGTGAAAGGGAACTCTCCAGCCTCAACGGAGCGCTCTCCGTGTCTGAAGAGCAATGACTCTTAGGGAGGCTTTCATTTTACTGAATGAAAGTCAGGTTCCTGGATACTCCCACCCATGAGTACTCTCTGTCCCATGGAGAGACAATGGGGCCAATCAGAGCCCAGTGCCCATTAACTGGGAAGTTTGGTTAATGGAGGTGCTGACCCTAGCCCCTCTCCAGCGTATTGTAAGCAGAGACATGGGATATAGAACGAGCTTCACTCGGGTCTGGATTGCAGCTCTGCGGCTTACTAGGCTGTGTGATCTCAGACAAGTCACTCAAGTTCTCTGAGTCTCAGTTTTCTCATCTGCAAAATGGAGATGACTAATTTTGCTCTGTGGGGCTGTTGTATTAAAGATAGTACATACAAAGCAACCAACACATGGTAAACAATAAATAGTAGCTAATGTTAATATAAGAACACAGCTTTGGAGTCAGAGACCTAAATTCTAATCTAGCCATGTGACCATGGGCAACATAATTTCCCTAGGACTCCATTTTCCCAAAAGTTACAAAAGGCAACTTTTGTAAGAGTGCCTACCTTGAAGGTCTGTGAAGACAGAATGAGATAAACCACAGTGCCTGGCCCAAGGGACCCCACACACTTCAGCTTCAATAATAACATTATTAGATTGGTAATGACTATCCCTTACGTTCCAGATATAAGCTCCTATGATACAAAATCTTGGCCTCAGCCAGTGTAGACAATTTAACTCGCTGTGCAGAATCAGGCATCTAAAAGAATGACCACATGAACCAACACTGAGCTGAAAATGGCATCGTCACTAATAGTCTCTGCTCAAAGCCATGGCCTAAGGCTCCCTCCCACATTCTTTAATGGACCCCTACAGAGAAGAAACTGAGTCACTCAGTGCCCATTTTATCTCCCCCACCCACTTCTGCCCTAAGGGATCACCTTTCAGCTCCCTCATTGATAAGCAAAAGACAAACAGTGAGTGCTGCAGTAGAAAGACGGAGCCAAGATGCACGGCACGGTTATCTTTTAAAAGTTCAGACTGAGAATGTGACAGTTCAGAGTTATTGCAGATCTGATTAGCTCACATTTTAGAATACTCGATGGTTTACAAAGTGATTTGATGTACTTGAACTGTTTCAATCCTCCCAGCAATATAAAACAGATGAGACTCTTATGCCCATTTTAGAGAAAGGTTCCTCAAGTTCAGAGAGTTTCGCTGGTTTCCCCAGATCACACAGCTTTGAGGAGGCGAGACGGAACTAGAACTTTGGCCTCCTGCATCTGATCCAGCACTTTTCCTAGTACCCACTATGGCACATGCCCAGTATAACTGTTCCACAGTATTATTCGTGAAGAAACTTTCACAGGTAGTCTCTCACTGGGATCTGGGTATCCAAAAGTCTGGAACCCACCCTCTTCCTAGCTGACGTAGTGAAGCTTGCAATCAATCTCATCGTCAGGAACCCCAGACTGTCTCCCGTTTCAATCCTGACCTCGACTTCATCAGTGACAATGCAGCCATCTCCAGGACCGGCCCCAGGGAGTAATGCCAGGTGATGTGATGGAGATGGTGACCCAGGTGGAAGATGGGGCTGAGTAACGTGCAAGCCTATATTTGGCATCCTACCTTCAGTGACCCTTGTCTGTGCCAGGCAACACCGATAAACAAATGACCCATCCCTTGGTATCTTGCCAGTATAAACTCACATTCTGGGCCTGGCTAGTGGAGTGTTGAGACACAGGAATTCCAAAGCAATGTGGGAGGCTAAAAAGGTTATGTATGTGAGCCAGGACTTAAATGGGCTTTCAAATCACAGTGACTCAATTAGCAGATTGGTGCTATTTGAATAACCTGAAGTAAAGGCGGTAATGATGCCTTGTCTTTGACTAGCTCCTTGATACTACTTTCAATTCCATCATATTTCACCCAAGTTCGAGGTCACAAGGTCAAAATTAGAACCCATGTCTTCCAATTCAGGATGCTTTACAACACGCTCTGCGTTTTGGCCTTTGAGCAGAAGAAGAAATCAGAGACGTCGTCTGTGTTTAGCCTCCGTAGCTACATTTCCAACTTTAAAAATGGAACTCAGCACCTGTTTAATAAAATGCTTACAGATTTCTATTCTGGGTTTCAAGTCCTAATATATGTATGTCAGATATTTTATGATCATTTAAAAAATAACCTGTGCTAGGATCCATTACCTTGTGAAGAAGGTATTATCTGTAATCTTATCCTCACTTTGAAAAGTATCATGTGTAGGCAATTGCTGAATGCACATGCACACATCCTCCCAAGGGCCATCTCTGGCTACCATTAACTTGCAGGACATGCCAATGAGATTTCCACACTTGCAGGACATGCCAATGAGATTTCCACCAAAGATGTGAGATAAGAAATTTGACCTAGGCTTGTTTTCATTGAAATTTTCCATCTCATTAATTTCACAAGTGTCACTGTCTCATTCCCGGATATATATTACATTTCTCTTCTATTTTATATTACGTTACAATCCAGGATCAAAGTGAACATGAACAAAATTATGTGATTCTACTCTTTTCCAAAGAATGTATCATCTTTAATCAGAGAAGGGTGAATCTTAGTAAAAGAAATTAGCTAAGAAAATACTCCCAAATGTTTACTTCTTTTGCCTGACCTGGTTTGTAAATAAGGGGGTTGTTCAATCTTGAAGATCTATTCCAACCATAGAGACCTAAAATTTTTTTTTTTTAAGATTTTATTTATTTGCCAGAGAGAGAGAGAGGGAGAGTACAAGCAGGGGAAGTGGCAGGCAGAGGTAGAAGCAGGCTCCCCGCCAAGCAAGGAGCCCAATGCGGGACTCGATCCCAGGACCCTGAGATCATGACCTGAGCCAAAGGCAGACGCTTAACCATCTGAGCCACTCAGGCGCCCCGAGACTTAAAAGTTTTAATGGAGTCAAAAATAAATAATTTGGGCTCTTTTAGGAGGTATTAAGATATGCCTTTCTGTGTGCTCTTTTCTCTGCCTGAAATGTCCTTCCTCCTTTTCTCTATCTGGTAAACTCCTATTCACCATGCAAAACCTCATTTGGATGTGACAACTGTGATCTTCTAACAACTCACTGCTTTCATCCCCAGTCTAAACATGGGTAGCCATATTCTCCTTTGAGTTTGCATGGTACTCTCATAAGGTTCTTTTTTGGTACAGAGTATTCTGGTTCCTGCCTCTTCCTCTAGAATGTGGACTTCTCATTCTAGGTGACACAAATTACTTATTTTTATAAGTTTTCTTCCCCTTGATCCGTACCAAGTACCCAGTACAGAACTTGACACATGATCGGTAGGTAGTAAATGCATGGTAAATGAATGCATGTAGACTTGATACCAAGCCTTTTCATTTCAAAATCCATTATTCTTTCCTCTAGACTAAACAACCTGAACTACAGAAATAGATGCACTAAATGTTTCCTTTAAAAAAAAAGTTTAAAGTGTATTTTCTGAAATTTTACTGAATAAAAAGAAGAGCCAGCTTCTACAAGAGGAAGCGGATAGGATGTTCCTGGCTAATCTCACACTGTTTTTGTAAGTGGGAAAGCTCCTTACAGGGACATTTAGGTAGGGATGTTCCCTTCGGTCCTGGTATCAGATTCAGTGGTCTGTTTGCTATTTACCTTCTGTTTCTTAGCAAAACCTGTTTTTGTTATGAGGCTGGAAGGCACAGTCCAGACCAGTTGACATAGGAGGGCTTAGTGTTAATCACCAACTATTATAAGAAGGTGACTGGCTTCCCAGAAGGGAAAGAGAAGGTCAGAAGCAGCCACTTGGAAGGGCCTGATAGTGCTCGGTGTCAATGACAAGATGACATACCAGGCTTCTTAGAAACCAAAGGATCTCAGAGAAAATTCAGACCCCTGGAGCTGGCAGGATTTCAGAAATGTCACTGAGTATGGATGCCTGATTTTAGTTCTGCTCTGGGAAAACTGACAACTGGATTCATACTTTGCACAGACGCAGAAAGAGAGGGAAAGTTGTTTTTGGATGCCCCTACTTGTCTGGCATCTCTCACACAACTGTTATCTTGAGGAGACAATGAGGGTCTGGGGCTGTGACTATCAGCCGCTCCTGCAGCCGAAGGTCCTAGAAGGGTATGGGAGGACACGCAGCATCATCACCTGGCTCCTGTGATCACACCTGGCACGGTGAGCTCTGCCAAGTACCTTCCTGCACATCGTGTCATTTGGTCCTCTATACACACACGGAAAAGAATGACCCTCTTCATAGTATAGGTGGGGAGACAGATGTAAGAGAAGCCACGCAGTTCACCTCTGTCCACGGCCTGCGATGGTAGCCCCAAGAGCAGAAGGCAGGTGTCCAGACTACCTGCCATTGTAGCTTATTGCTTGGGTCTGAAGGATAGGAGGATTCTATTTATCATAGATTTTTATCAGCAAGATTAGCTAAGGCTTTGCTACCCAAAGGGTGGTCCCCTATGAGTAGCATCAGCACTGCCTGGAGACTGTTAGAAATGCAGAATTTCCTGCCTCACCCACATCTACCAAACCAGCATCTGCAGAGTAGCAAGATCTGATGTGATCTGAGAAGCACTGAGCTAGATAAGAAGATACGCCATTTTCATAGATCATCCCCACTTCCAATGGAATGTTTAAAACCTCAGATGCAAAAAAATATTTAATATTTGTATATAATTTCACATACACAAAATTAGCTCATCTATTCCTTCTAAGAACCCTGTGTGGTACATAAGGGCTGGCGCTACTGAAATTTAACAGAAGAGGAAACGGAGTCCTAAAGTAGTAATGTGACTTGCTCAGAGCCATCTGAGTGTCTGAGCTTTTTCAGGGATGTACACACAGTAACTATTTGCTGAACGAATGGATGAATGCATGCATGAATGAAGGAAGGAAGGAATGAACCACCAAACACACCGGGGCTGGATCCTGGTCTTGAGACCACAGTACTACCAGACACTTGCTCCCTCCTGAGGTTACCTACATTCAGGGTATTTGCTTTATATCCTGTTAGACTTGACCTTGGTCAGAGGGTCTTCAAGATGCCAAACTGGGGCGGAGGAGCAAAATGTGGAGCCTGCGAAAAGACAGTCTACCACGCAGAAGAAATCCAGTGCAATGGAAGGAGTTTCCACAAGACCTGCTTCCACTGCAGTGAGTTTGGTGAACACCACGAGGGCCCCGCAGCATCCAGAGGGCTTTGCGAAGTTCACATTTACCCACAGATACTGTATATTGGTGGTCCTCAGGCTCTGGTCCCGGGACCAACAGCAGCAGCATCACCTGGGAACTTAATAGAAATATCACTTTGGGGGGCGCCTGGGTGGCTCCGCTGGTTAAGCGTCTGACTCTTGATGTCAGGGTCATGAGTTCAAGCCCCACATTGGGCTTGGGGCTTGGAGCCTACTTAAAAAAAAAAGAAGAAGAAGAAAGAAAGAAATATCACTTTGGGGCCCCTCGTAAAAGGATGGTGTTCTCCTGAGCACCCTCTTGCCAATTGCTTGCCCAGCAAGAGGCCATTACCCTGCCACTCAAAGTCAGAACAAGCTGGCCTGCTGCTGCCACCATGGTGAAAACCTTGACCCAGTGGCAACATTTGCAAAGTGTGACCTGGCAGAGAAAGGAAGCCATCGCTTATCTGGAGCCAGGATGGATCTGGCTCTATGTTGTTCCCACAGGCCAGTGTTACTGAAGCCAGCTGCGACCGGTCTTTCCAAAAGAAAGAACCTGAGTCAGGCAAGGGGCAACGTATGGCAATTCTGTAATAGTCCAAAAGGGAAGAGTTTGGGGCCTGGCCACCAGTAGCCTGACAAAGGGTATCTTCACCGTCACCTGCTGGACACAAATGCACAAATGTCAAAACTGGGGGGGAGTACAAACCCCAGGGTCCACCTGGAAGTCTGGCTTTGCCTGACCCATGACTTTGGACAAATCATTTCTCATCTCTAAGCACCTGCAGCAAAGCCGGGAGTAGAACCTGTACCTTAAGACCCTCGGTCCAGTCCCTTCAACATGACTTCATTCTAGAGTTTTCAGTGGTTAGTCCAGGTCCAGGAGAACAGTCTTTTTTGGCCACTTACCTTCCTTGCTTTGCTCCTGTAGGTCTGGCTTAAGGGGTAGCTTTTTTTTTTTTTTTTTTTCAAAGATTTCATTTATTTATTTGACAGAGAGAGACACAGCGAGAGAGGAGCACAGGCAGGGGAGTGGAGGGGGGAGAGGCAGGCTTCCCGCCGAGTGGGGAGCCCGATGCAGGGCTCGATCCCAGAACGCTGGGATCATGACCTGAGCCGAAGGCAGGCGCTTAACGACTGAGCCACCCAGGCGCCCCAAGGGGTAGCTTTGCTGGACATTTGGCAGACCTCCTCCCCACATGGTCCCCACACCACTGCCATGATTTAGCCCAGTGGCCACAAGGCATCACACTGCCCCAAACTGTTTCACACAGAACTTCAAGGATTGGGCTCCATCTGTTAAAGCATGGAGGCACTTTGTCCTGAAGCTGCCAGAAATAATAATGTTTTACCTGCTGCAGGAGTTTCCATGATCTCTTACCTTCCGCAGCAAACAGAATTCTTATGGAAGAGCAGCTCTGAGTGACTGGGTTGGCGGATTTACTAAAGCTTTGGGTTCCAATGATGGGTAATTTTTTTGAGGTGGGAAGGGGCAGAGGGAGAGGGAGAGAGCGAATCTTAAGCAGGCTCCATGCCCAGCACGGCGGATCCTGATGCGGGGCTCAATCCCACAACCCTGAGATCATGACCGGAGCCGAAATCGAGTTGGACGCTTAACCGACTGAACCACCCAGGCACCTCAATGGGTAATTATTTTTAAGTCATCATACACATCCATCAGATTCAACATTATTACCCAGAAGTCATTGCTCAAGAGTCCCTTCTATAACCTTCCGGCTTTTGTCCAAAAACAGCTAGTGCTCTTTAAAACGAGTAGGCGCAAGGAGTAATGGAAAGACCACTGGAATTAGAGTACAAATGACTAGGGCTTGAGTCTGGGCTCTGCCATGTAATAACTGCGTGATCTTGGGCAAGTGATTTCACCACCGTGAGCCTCAATTTCCCCATCTATAAAATGGAGATGACGGTATCCACCACACAGGTTGTCACAAGATGAAAACTGGGGTTCTCGATCAGGCCTCTATTCTCCTCTGATCAACTTTAATATCTGAGTGAGAACAGGATGTGTAGGGAAGCTTTCCATGGTCAGGGGTGTCTTGTTTTCCTCAGGTAGCAGGAAGACCCCCTGTTCAATGGAGCCATGGTAGAAGGGATGTGAGTATTTACTGGTACATCCCTTTTAATCCTTTGATATTTTCCTTAGAACTCATGGGTGGGATGAGGATATGAGCAGTACACATTTTTGTGGTAGTGGACAGAAGGATCCCGGAGAGGAGCATGCTTTTCTATTTTATCACCTCAGAACTTGCCTGTCTACAGGCCAACCTGCAGTTGTCATAAATAGGCTTCAGAAAAGCAGAGCCTACCTTAGCTTGTCCCCTGGCCAGTTCTCCAAACTTCTAGACAAAGCTTAATCCTCCTTAACAGTGTAGTCCAAAGAAATATAATGCAAGCTACAAATATACATTTAACATTTCTAGTAGGCATATTTTTAGAAAGGTATAAAGAAGTGACATTAATTTTTAAACATTTTATTTAACCCAATATATCCAAAAATTATAATTTCCACATGTACAAGATACACATTATTCATGGGATATTTTGTATTCCTTTTTGTTTGTACTTAGTGATGGAAATCGGTGTGCATCTTGCACTGACCACACATCACGTACATGGCGGTGAATGGCTACAGGGGTGCCTGGGTATGGAAGCTGGTCAGGACCCGGGACATGGCTATAGGAAGGGCCCAGGCATGATGGGGCATACACAGTCCTGGAGGGATGGACTGGAACAGGGGGTCAGAGGACCTGAGGCCAGTCATGGCTCTGCAACTTACTGCTGTAGAATCACGGACGAGTCACTGACCATTATTCACACGTGCATGCATGCATTCATCTACTCACTCATTCATTCATTCAACAAACATTTACAGAGGACTAACTCTGGGCCAGGCCCCATGCTATGTACTGAGGTTATTAAAATACAAGTGTTGCCCTCAAGGAACTCACAGTCTAGAATATCAATGAATATTGGAGATGTTTTTCTGGAGACTTGTAGTGATAGTAATAAGGGTGGAGATAGGTAATATACAGACTTTTTAACACATACAATGTTGACATAATTGTTTAATGAATTTCCATTCACTTCCCCATCCACACAACCACCAACCCCTCATCCACAACCTTCTCTTCACCCACTCTCATATTCAATTACTTTATGTTTTTAAGTAAAATACCATTTGAGGAAGGCATATTACACTGCAACAACTTCATTCATGCTGGATTGCTTATAAAGGTCACTTGAACTGGTTAAAAACAAAAAAGGAGGCAAATAAATCAAATGCACATGTGTTGTTCATTCTTGGGGCCACGACCTCACTATTATAAGCAGTGAGTACCACAATAAACAACCTTTAAGAATCACTGTTACAAAGCAGTGCAGCAAGTTATTAAGTTATAGAAATCCTACATATCTTTTTTTAAGATTTTATTTATTTATTTAGAGGGAGAGAGCACGAGTGGGGGTAGGGACAGAGGCAGAGGGAGAAAGAGAATCTCAAGCAGACTCCATAGCGAGCGCCAAGCCCAGTGTGGGGCTTGATCCCACGACCCTGAGATCATGACCTGAGCTGAAATCAAGAGTCAGACGCTTAACTGACAGAGCCATCCAGGCGCCCAGCTACATGTTCTTTAAAGCTGCTCAAATGTTATGCTAATAGGAACTTCTGGTTGAGATATAAATTCCCGGTGACAGCCTCCTGCTCAGGTACAAACAGGGCTGCCCCTCAAAGATGCAGACAGAAGTGGGGAGCTGGAGAGCTGAGTCCACTGCCTCAAAAAGACACTGGTAATAGGGAGATGCTGATGGTGAAGATGCAGAGGAAGAATTTGGATACAATCGTTTCCTGAATTTGTGTGAGGTTAGAAAAAGGAAACTCTCCAAATCAACATATTATTGATCTATATTATTAAATTAAATATTATAAGTAGATTTTTAATACTTTCATGTACATCCTTAAAAGTTTATTTTATTTTTTTAATTCAATTAGCCAATATATAGTACATCATTAGTTTTAGATGTCAAAAGTTTATTTTTTTCAAATTGGCAAAAAAAACACCTTCTCTATATATCTTCTTTTTGGAAAATGGAGGCTTGTCTTATATACTTTATATTATGGGGGATACTTTATATTGGGTAACCAGTGACCAGGGGGCTTAAGCCAACATAAGTCTAAGGGTCTATGAGATAGGTCTACTCCTTCACCACCTCCCGCTTCTAGAACTGGATCAAAAATAGCCTCAGTGGTAACTGACTCCTTGCATATCATAGTGCTCTTCAAAGTAGGTAGAGAAACTGCTTGCCACTGATTCTGATATGATTAAGGAAAAATAAACTCATCCCCAGCCTCAGCGCCTTATCCTCTATCCACACCTGCACACACAAGACACACACTTTCCTGGTGTCACCTGGGCTGAGACACTCAGGGATTCAGGTTGTTTGGATTCAGGGACAATATTCTCAGCTGGTCCAAGACCACACAGTTGGTTCTGATCCTGGCCTCCCCCTCTTTCTAGCTGGGCTCCGCTGAGCACATTCTGTCCCTTTTCTGCTTCCCAGCTTCCTCACCTGTGAAATCAGGGGTGCCATGGAGCCCACAGCTCAGAATGCTCTGGTCAGGAATCAAAGTTGTGCTCCTGGCCGGGGGCCCCTCTTGCTGGGTCTCTTGGCCCTGAGCATGGCATCAGGGCTTCGAGGAAGTGGGGGAGGAACTGTGGCCCCAGCCCCCTGACCCTCCCTTCCCCGGCAGTGGCCTGCAGGAAGGCTCTCGACAGCACCACGGTGGCAGCTCACGAGTCAGAGATCTACTGTAAGATCTGCTACGGGCGCAGGTATGGCCCCAAGGGGATCGGGTACGGACAAGGCGCCGGCTGCCTCAGCACGGACACAGGAGAACACCTGGGCCTCCAGTTCCAACAGTGAGTTACTGCCCCGCTTCTCCCAACCCAGTAGAGCCCCAGCGATCAGGACAGTTCATTCTGTTCCTATAGCAACGTTTTCTGCAAGTGGGAGAATGGACTCTATTGTTGACTTGCCAACAATAGGAATACTCAGTCTGACCAAGTTTTAACAATGTGTCATCTCTCCCAAGACTCTCTTCAAATTATCTGCCTTTCTAAAGGGCAATTACTTTTATACCATGGCTCTTGGTTTGCATGTCAAGAGAAAACCCAGAAAGTGCAGATTTTCCATTGTTTGACCTTTGCTAAAACTGCATGGAGTCTCTTTTCTTCCCCTTTGAGCGTGTCTGTGTAAATCACATAAATATGGCAGGGAAGCAATGGCCATTCGCTGTGGGCTTGTCACTAAAAGATTTCTTCCCTCGGGTTGTAAGATGACTAATGTCCACATCACAGGAAGGGTGGGTCTGCAGGGAGGGCAGTGGGCCTCAGGAGTAAACAATCAATTATGACTGTCCTCTGGGACCCCTAGCTGCCCGCTGACAACACAGTGCTGACGTCCCCCTAGCATGATGAAGGGAAGCTGGGCTACCACCCCGTACAACCTCCATCTACCAGGCTGGTCTACTGTCTCGATGATCTTGCTGACTTCCCGCCTGGAACTGAGTACAGACTGACAGCCACTTGCCCACAGTGTTGTCTGGCCGGCTGGTTTCCAGGCTCAGCTCCACAGTGGGACTAGGCAGAAAGGCCCACACGAGCCAGTGGCCCATGGAGGGTCTCCCCCAGAGGGCAGCAGTTAGACCATCTAAACTGTCATCTGGCCCCTTCCAAAGAGAGTAGCCCATGGTACAGCCTGGGAAAATGATGCAGCAATGTATGATTAGTCATTTGAATTTTTCTCATTACTCGATCCCAACTGGACACTGTTTAGTGAAGAAAGATACCGACCGCATTCTGGGCCACGCATTGCCCGAAGCCCACTCTTCTCTGTTATGGCTTCCTTGTGACGTTACACCAAGAGGAATAAGAGTCCACAGACCTGGGTTTGGTCCCACCTCCACCAGTCATGAGCTGCCTGACCTTGGGCAGGTACCCCTCGAACCCTTGCTTTCCCCCAGCTAGCCCTGCCTATCTTAGAGGTTATGATGAGATGCAAGTGGTAAACGTACAAGGAAACACCAACAGAGATGGAAACTATGGGGGGGGGGCGGCTCCTGTGCTTCTATCTTAGATGTTGCTTGACATGGGGACAGGTGACCTTTTGAGGCAGGATGACAACCTGAACTGTGACAAGGACGCATCAGCGTATTGGACTGTGGTTTGTTTACTATCAATTGTCGAGATCCCATCTTGCTCTAAAGTATCTTCACGACTCACTCAGTAAAGCAGACCAGTAGGCTTTGAGATGGTACAGAAAAATCTAAACACTAGCAACAATACTAACATGACAACAACACAAGCTAATGTACATGGAACACTAGCTAAAGGCTTAACGACAGAAAGATTTAAGCCAATGAGAGCTAGGTTTGCTAGCCCTTACTCCATACCAGGAGACACTCAGACTTCTGAGGGCTTTCCTCACGTCCCCTCATCAAACCCTCTCAACAACCCTGTGAGGAAGGCAGCTCCTTTTTCCAGATGAGGAGTCTGAAGCACAGAGAAGTTAGGTAACTCACTCACGGTCACACAGCTAAGTCCTCTTTGCCAACAAGGTCTATAGGTTTCATTCATTCGTCTGTTCCCACCAGGTCCCCAAAGTCTGCACGCTCAGCCACCACCAGCAACCCTTCCAAGTTCACCGCAAAATTTGGAGAGTCAGAGAAGTGCCCCCGATGTGGGAAGTCAGTCTATGCTGCTGAGAAGGTGATGGGAGGGGGCAAGGTAAGGACTGCCAGGTGAGCCAAATGGGACTTGCTCATCTGCACAGGATCAGTTGGGAGGAGTGAGAGAGGAGAGTAGAAACTGTGCGCAAGTGGGAGCCAGGCCCTTTATTCTCCTTTGCTCCCAGGAGCCACATTAGGAGCCACATTAGGAGCCACCCATCCTCACCCACTTTCCTGGGCTGTGGCTGCCACTCAGCAGAGCCCTTGGAAACTAAAACTGGTGCAATTCGATGCAACAAGCCTCAGTCCACTAGGCAGAAGGAACCCAGCCAGAAGCTCGGAGATACAAAGGTGCACAAGCCCCTTGTCCTTCAGTGTCCAAAATCCTTCCAGAAAGTTGTCAGACCTGTGAGCTCGTCACCACTGCATAACTCAATCAGCACCAATGGGTAGAGCAGACCCCTCACGGCAGCGAGAAGCATCCTTGCTCCCAAGCGTCTTGGCAGTCGGGGGAGTCATCCGATGTCTGAGACAGTCACGCACACTTGGCTCTACCCCTCTGGTTTCAGGGTATTCACCAGAGGGTTTGGGCCCAAAAAAGGAAAAGGAAAACCCGTTTATACTGAAGTGGAGTGGGGTGGATGGAAATAAGGGCCCTGGAGAGTGTCTGACTTCAAATATGAGGGCAGTCTCCACCCTCCAACTGACTACTTGAAGATGTATGAGAACCCCTAGGCCATGCCTGGTGGACAGGTGGGGTGTGCAGAAGGAGGCCATCTTGTGACGAGCCAAGCCAGGCAGCTCTCTTCCGTGACACACACAGAGTTCAAGCAAAGCCAAGTTACCTGGCTAATCGCCTTCTTTCTTCACTTCTTTTCTTCTTTAACTTTATATTCAGTGTAAATGAATGTATTCAGTGCCCCAAGTCCGAGTTCCTTTCTACTTTATTCCTTGATCTTCTAGAAGGGGGAAGCCCTTTTCTATTTAGTCTGTTCTGAAGGAATACATACGGTGATCACTTTGATAAATTTATTTGTAGGGGTTCTAAGAATTGCTGGCCGAATCCATAGCATCTCATTTTCTTTGAACCCCTGGAAAAATTATTCTGGGGTCGACTAGATGCATGAGTGGTTAAGACAGTGGCACTCCTTTATATGCTGCTGGGGAGATTTAACACGGACACAGAATATGCTGCCCCCCACACTTACGTAGCTCTCCCGCTCTCCTGCACCCCTCAGCCTTGGCACAAGACCTGCTTTCGCTGCGCCATCTGTGGGAAGAGTCTAGAGTCCACGAACGTCACTGACAAAGATGGGGAACTTTACTGCAAAGGTGAGTGGTTTGGGGACTCTCTTGAGAGGTTTTCCCAAGAAGGACCCTTAGAGGGTAAGTTGTGGTTGCCAGGCGGCATGGCTGCTCAGCCTGAGCAGAGTTTGGGCTCTTAGGATGGGGAGCAAAACCACCAAAGGGAAAGAATTCTCCCCGCCCCCGGCCCAGCTCTGGTCCTCCATTAGAGCATGTGGGAGGGACCAGATGCTTGCAGATGCTCAGTGGTTCAAGGCAGCTGGGTGCCTAGGGGCAGAGACGAGGAGTCCTGGAAGAGGCCACAGGACTCGATAAACAGCATCACATTCCCTTCTGAAAACCCAAATGCCCTCTGTCTACCCAAGTGGTAGTTACGGGCAACTGCGGGAGGATGAACTCTCTTTAGTTCATTAGATTAAATAATAGTTCATTAGTTTAGAGAGTCTGACCTCTCTTTAATTAATCAAGACATATCTAGATCCTTCCCTCCCTCCCTCCCTCCCTCCTGCTCTTGCTCTCTCCCTCCTTCCTTCCTGACGTTTCTGTTTCTAATGTTGCATTTCACTTAGTGATCGCAGGGACAGAACTGAGAAACAGGTTTTCCTTCTGGTTCTCACAGCTCTAGCCCCAGATGCCTCCACGGTCCCTTTGTCTTGTGGAGAGGTAGGAAAGGTTAGCTCTCTTCTGATGCTACAAAAAGGAAGGGATGCATTCGGGCCAAGGCAATGTGACCTCAACCTCAGAGCCTCTCCGGGGCCTATTGTTTCTCAGTGGGGCCCGCCCACCCTTGCAAGTAATGATGGTATCCCTAGGTCTCCAACTATGTGTGGTTGGAATGGAGTGAGAGGAGCGATGGGAGAGGGGCAGAGGCAGGCCATTCCTAATCAAGACTGCAGGATGCCAAAGCTTTGCCCACAGGGAGACAGAATGCAAAGGAATGCACTATCCCACGGGAGATGCCTTTTCCTGACAGCGGAGGACACAGAGGGTCCTCAGCATTTACAGGCCAAAAACCCTAAAATGTTGCTGCAGCCAGCGGAGAGATCGACCCGTAGACAAATAATCGCATTGCCAAGGGAAGAAAGCTCCGGTAGTAATACAATGCAGTAGCATACAAAGAGGCAAGTGAGCAGCTTGGGGTGTTAGGGAAGGCTTCTCAGAAGACAAGACTCCTCTGGTCTTAAGGTTGAATGTGGACTTTGGTGGGGGACAGCCAAGGAACGGGGAGCAGTGCGTGCAACGGCACCCCAGCCAGGGCACCGTGGTTCATTCCAGGGACCGCGGGTGGTTCTGTGTGCCTGGGGTGGCGGGAAGGAGGCAGTGGCAAGAGGGGACGAGGCTGGGCAGGCAAGCAGGGGCCATTTTATCTTGACTCAAATGACAAAATGCCTGTGAACACTTAGTCCTAAGTGCCCGTAAGTATGAACAATTTTTATCAGCAGATCGAAAGTCAATGTAGTTCAATATACTTCAAAGTTAACTTATGAACACAGGTATGACAAGGATGCCTCTCACAGGTGAAAGGACTGTCAAGACCCCAGGAAGCGCAACTGAGGTCTAACCAACCCATTCTCTCTCCCTTTTACCCCCCTCTCGTTCACAGTTTGCTATGCCAAAAATTTTGGCCCTACGGGTATTGGGTTTGGAGGCCTAACACAACAAGTGGAGAAGAAAGAGTGAAAGGTGTGCCAAACTTCACTGGCCTCGAGCATTTGCCATGTTCTCCTACAGGACGGTTAGCCTTGCCCGATCATCCTCTCGTGGAGGGTCGGCCAGTATTTCTCTTCAGAACTGATCACAGTCTTGACCCAAAGTTAGAAAACACTTCTGGAAGAAAAGTATTAAAAGTTTAAGCTGTAACAAATGTTTTATTATTTCTGATACCTGGGGTGGGAGAGGCAATAAATAAATGTTTTAGTGGCACTTGGTGTGTCTCTGGATCTTTTCTTTAGAATAGAGGGAGATTTGAAAAAAAAAAAATACAGAGGGGTTTGCGAAAAACTCACTGCAAAGGATGTCATGAATCCTGGTGTCACCTGGGGAAGGCGTGAGGAGGAGGAACAAGAGGCCAAGGAGAGTGGGCTTCCAGAATCTGTCCGCTGAGCGGCTTTCTCGCTGCTAACAGAGAAGGAAACGGGGTTCCAGAGGAAGCAGACAACAGGAGAGCAAATTCTGGAAGGAACATCAAAACTAAAAAACTGCTGAAGAGTCAGTCCTTTTGTCCTACGATGGGCTTTGCAATCTTCACACATTTCATAAAAACCCGGACATGGCAACAAAACACGGAGTTTGCTTCTATGTATAAACAACGGGAGGATGATTTTCTTTTATTCTGGGACAATTCCCTAGGGTTTAGCAATTTTCTGAAAACCTCTCCTACGTCAAATTACCAGCCTCACCCGTGAAATGCAGCCAATTAAAAATGTCTCTGTGCCTCCTCAGCAAGTTCTTGGCAGCCCAGGCGTGCACATTTTCTTGGGGCTCTGCTTTTAACAACGACCGCATCTCTCCCGCCCCCATGCAATTCTGAATTATGGGAGGAAATGAAAGCAAGTGAGTATCTAGACTAAACCATGGGTTCCTCTATGCTCCAAGTCTCAAGAAGGCTTTCTTTAAAATGATCACTTATTTGGGGTTGCTGTCATAGACAAAGCCCCGCACTGACTCTATTACGTATTTATCTACTAGTTTTTTGATGCTCAAAATGCAATTACATTTTGTCATTTTCTCTATTGGACTGGCATTAATAGAATGGCTCAGAGAAAAACAAAGAGCTGGCAGAGGTTGTGTCCCATTCCACTTTCAAAGAGGTAGACGTATGCTTTCTTTGTCCAGAGACCCCTGCTGGGTAATTCAGCCACAGAGTTCCACCAAATGACCTGAGGGTGGAAATACTATACACTTTACACTCTCTGGGGAAGGCAGCACAGGGCAATTGTTTTTAATTTGTAAGCTTTTGGCCAGAGTCGTCTGGGCTCCCATCAGTGTGACTCGAACAATTAATAACACCAGTGAGAAACTGAAATAAGTCAATCAAGTCCCCTGTAGCCTGCACGGATTTTAAAAGCAATATAGTCCCTTGGCCTTCACTAGGAAGTCCCCTACCCTAGAGACTTCCAGGCTTGCAGCGGAGTAAGATACGCACGTGAAACGATCACCGGGCAGTGCAACTTTCTCCTCCTTCACCTCATCTCACAGTTACCAGCCCCACCACCCATCCACCCGGGAGACTGAGCTCAAAACTCGAGCCATCCTTAGCTTTGCCCTACCCTCCCCCCCCTTGCCTCACTCCCAAGCCTCCTTGATTCTGACTCCAAAATGTCTCTAGAATACATCCCTTCCATTCCTACCCTTTGGTATACATAGTCAGCGAGGGCTTCCACAATGAAGGACCATGGACAGGTTTGGCTCAAACAACAGAAAGCTATAATACCAAATTTGGCCCATAACAGTATATCACATAAGGACTTTCACAAGTTGACTTTGGACTCACCCTTCAACTTAGCTTTAGACCATCTCTTCCAGATGAGCTCCAGCTACACTCAGATTTGAAGCTTTCCAAATAGGCCAAGCATCCTCACCCCATCATGCTTTTGCTAATACTGATCTTTTTGCCTGAAACGCCTAGAAGACAGAGCCCCACCCCCCACCCCCATCTTCACCACCCCACCCAACTTCTCAGCCTGGCGAACTCCTATCATCAAGTCAGCCTCAAATGCCATCTCCTCTGCAACATCCTTCCTGAACTTCCTGAGCAGAATTAATCCACCTCTGGATACACAGGCAGTATGTAAGTGACGCAGCACTGCTCTCTCTACATTGCGATTTTGAATTCCCCTCCGCTTCCTTGTTAAAATGTGACATGTATGTATTCATGGTGCTCTAGGAACAGTAGGCACCGTGTAAACATTTGTTGAGCGAATGAAGTGGGAGTGTAGGCTGGACTACAAGCAAATTCTGCTAGAATGTAAAAGAAGAGATTATTATGTGCAGAGTGAAGGAGTTTGGAAATGAGAAAAAAAAAAACACAGCAAAACAAAGAAAGAACCTTATTGTTGTTTAGCGGTCTTTGTGTTTCCCCTCAACTTCCTGGGCAATGTCCTACATTTTCCAGGCTCATCTACCATCAGCTGGGACATGGGACATGGGACACGGGACTTGAAGCCCCCAAGACCTCCAGGACAGTCTCCATTCTCTTCCCACATCTGTGGATGCAGAAGGGCCAGGAGGCCCTGAGGCTCTAGAAAATGGTGGGAGCACTAGCTGGGAGGGAGCTTGGGTCCCTGCAGGTTAGAGTGTCTGCAAACAGCTATGCGGGCTGTAACAAGAGGGGGAAAGAAGGCTTCTGTTAAGGCATTGAGATGTGGGGGATGGTTATTACTGCATGAACTCCCTGCACTGAAATACTCGCAGCTATAATACCAAATGTGCTATACCCAAGATATTCCACTTCTCGCTGCTCAGTGTACAGCCTGTCTGCTAAGCCACAGGGAGCATCCTCAGGATGCTAATAATTGTGGAAGGGATTCAAATGCAATCTCCGATAGGACTACACAGATATATGGGGAAAGGAATGAAGTTCTGGCATCGCAGGGTAAGAGTCCCACTCCCCTGGCCCCGACAAACCAAACAAGCCCCAACCTGGCCACTTCGCCCCTAAGCTACCACCTTCTCCCTGCTCCTCTCAAAGCCAAGCCATAGGACTCTGTTCCATCTGGTCCTTACTGCTTGCGCATCAGGCGGTGCCCTCCCTGCTGCCCACCCCACTCCCTGCCGCCACGGCTCCACTGAGCCCACCACTACCCTCCTAGCCACAACGCCCATCTTTCTTCAGTTGTCCTCTCCTCAGCTCCTGACGAGTGACTCCTTCCTCTTTGAATTCTTCTTGAATTCTATGCCACTGTACTCTCACCTCCCCGCTGGTCCCTCCTCCTCATCTCCAGCTCCCTAAATCCATATTCTGTAAGGTCATGTTCCTGCTCCCCGCCCCCACCCCCTCATATTTTCTTCGTTTGCATGAGTTGTCATCTTTGGTCTCTTTCTAGAATTGATCTTCCCATTCCAGGTGGGCAACTCCCCATTTCATTTGCATCTCATTTTTCTACCTCTTTCCTGTGACAACCTCATCCATCTGTGTTCATGACTCCCATCCATGCCCCGGTCTCTTTACAGCTGCCTTCCAGACTTTTCCACTGCACAGCCTGCGATACCTCAAATTCAGTAGCCCCCACCCACCAAACTCATCACCTAGTCTCTCCATGGCTTTCTTTACTTCTCAGAAGAGCACTGCCACCCTCTCATTTACTGGGTTCCAAGTCATCTTTGAACTCTCCCTTCTCTTCCCCCCACATTCAATCAGTAATCTGCGCCTTCATCACTTCTTGCCTAGAATATTATTAAAAGCTTATCTCTAACATTCTAGATCTGTCAGGGTCCAGTCAGAAAAACAGAGACCACACTAGGCTTTTTGTTTTGTTTTGTGTTTTTTAACAGAGAGAAAATAATGGAATTGACGAAGCAGTTGCTAATCTTTTTCAAAAAGTAAAGAGAAGCACACTGATTTAGCGCAGAGATGGGACCTGCGGGAAGCAGCCGCGACAAACAAAGAGAAGAGATAGGAGCGCCCTAATTCAGATGCCTCCAGGCCAGGTTTCCCAGGGCTAGGAGCCAGACCTCCCAGCAGACAGCCCTATCTGGGTCCTGCTGGGGCTTCTAAGGGACAACAATGGAGGTGGTTTGGGGAACTCTGGAGAAAAGCTAGACAGATTCCAACTGTCACCATCAGGGTGAAGGGCCACCGTAGGAACAACACTGAGAGGACTAGCTGGTAAGAAGAGTGGAAGGAAGTCTCTTCTCCCCTCCTCCTCCTCTACTGGCCAAACTTAATGGAAAATCAGCTGACAAGGAAAACTGTAGTTTTGAGAATCGTAGTCCCCAAACACAGAACACAGAGTATGGAAGGGTGAATATGGCACATTTCCTTACCTCTATAGTCAATTTTCCAAAGATTCCTGAATTAATAGCATTTATCGAGCATTTATTATGTGCCACGTAGAATTCTAAGCACTTTCTAGGTTATTAACACATTTAATCCTCAGCACAACATTTGGAGTTATCTACTATTATTATCCACATGATACAAATGAGGAAACTAGAGCATTATAGAGGTAAGTCATTTGTTCAGGGGTAAAAGGCACTTATAATTGGCAGATCCAGGACTCAAACCCAGGATGCCTAGCTATAAAACACCAACTCTCAAACTTTTTTTTTCTTAAAACTCTCCCACGAACATGTGCCTGAGGAACAGCCACAATGGAATGGTGGGGTAAGAGTCCTTACGTAAATGATTCCCAAACTGTATCATGTAAATGTGATTCCCAAACTGTATCATGTAAATGTAAGAATCATTTGGGGAACCTGATAAAAACTGAGATTCCAAGACTCACTCCTCAGACCTCTGGAAGGTCTGAGAAGAGGAATCTAAATTTTATTTTTTTAAAGATTTTATTTATTTGTCAGACAAGCAGGGGGAGCAGCAGACAGAGGAAGAAGCAGGCTCCCTGCTGAGCAGGGAGCCAGACACGGGGCTTGATCCCAGGACCCCGGATCATGACCTGAGCCCATGATCCGAAGGCAGCCGCTTAACCGAATCAGCCACCCAGGCATCCTAGGAATTTGAATTTTAAATAAGTGATCCTCAGACACCACCCCCATCATTATCCCAGGCCTGTTATTCTGATGTAAATGGTCTATGGACCCCAATTTGAGAGTAATTACTTGGCAGGGGTTGGTGAGAGCAGACAAGAGGATATAAGAGGACTTTTTACTGACAAGTGAGTAAAGAAATAGCTCATTATTGC